GTCAGTGTAATAGCACCTGGGATTGGCGCAGGACCTGTGGGGTGTGTTTGTTGTTGTGGGGCTCCGGTGTGAGAGAGTTGGGAGACACGTTGGCGAGACAATGTTGATTGCGATGGCTCCTGTTTATTGTTTTGGCGTTGGATACGGCCTACAGTAGCCTGTGTTCAAGCTGTGGAGAATAAAGACCAGCTAAACCAGCTCCTGCTTCGTAGCTCATTATTCCGGGTCGCTACAATATTAATATTCTAATAATTATTATTATATATTATATTAATATAATAATACAAAGAGGACCACTTGGGATCATCCACACTGTTTGTTTTATGTTAAATTTAGAGAACTTTGGTGCCTCTGTGGCTCGCCCGGTGGAGCTGCTGGCCCATGTACAGGATCTGGTCTGTGACCCTGTGTTGTGTGTCATCCTCTCTCTCTCTACCCCTTTACTTTTTTTGTTAGATAGACAGGAATAAATGACTGGAACAATATAAAATAAAAAAGGAGGAACCATGTATATGTATGTAACTATAATAATGTATTAAAAGATACATAGTTTATGACAACCTTAACTAGAATATATAAATAAAGTCGGTTTTATTAATAATATGAAACAGTTGTAATCATTCCTCTTGTTCATACTGACCATTAAAAACATATTTCCCAATGTACTTTCCATGTAAATGTAAATGATGTCGAACAGAATCCACAATCCTTTTTCTGTATTAAGATCCTTAATGTATCTAAAACTAACTGGAGACTTAATCAAACACTTAATTGTCCTTGCTGAGCTGCAGTTTACTGACCACCAGGTGGCAACATAACACAACATATTTCAATAACCTGAAAGGCAGTAACTTGGAGTGGTCAGTAGATGGCACATAAGAACAGAAAATCAGCCTGGTTACTGCTGAATTTTAGAGCTCACACATCTTCTGCTATAAATAATGCTAATAAAAATTATGTTTTTCCTCAGTATTCTTATAGGACCATATTAGATGATCAGTATAATGTAACTCATGGGCCTAAACATCTGGGCAGATGTCCCTTTATCATGCTGTTACTAATTAGGACTAAGGTCCAATCATAAGATCATCCTTAATTAAAAGCAATCTTGAATCTGGGACAAGGTTTTAGATAATCTGTTTTCTCAGAAGCAGTATTTGACAATGTCTGCTAAATCCTGATCCAATCAACTGCATGGTTGGTGCACCTGGCTCATATTCTGTCTCACTGATTTTCTTATTGACAACTGCATCATATACAATGACTAAATTCCTTTGTGCTGACACTGAATTGTAGTTTATTTTATTTTATTTGATTAATGATAGTACAGACATTTATAATATATATATAGTACTTATAATTATCTTTTTTATGTAATTATACACTTTTTGTTTTCATACATCTATATCTATTATACAGATACTTTTATTTTTAACAGGTTGTGACTTTTCAAACAACAAAAACATAAAGGTCCTGAATGATTTAAAAAGTCATGTGAACAATATGCAACAGTTTGGACTGAAGTGAAAGTGAAGATTTAGTTCTGAATGATTTGAGAAAATATTAGATTTCTGTTTGAGGAAAGACTCTCATATTCACTTTCATATGAGTAATCAAGACTTAAAGTAAAAAAAAAATTGCACCACATTCATCTGTTTAATACAGAGGGAAACTATTTTGTCCAAAATATTGCGAAAAGGAGCAGTCACTCCTCTTGAATATCATCTCACCTTTGCACTTATATCTTTAAGCAGTCTGGATGTGAGAGGCATCCTGCCAGTTACAGCACACTTTGATAGGTTTCCTCTTTGATTGTTTTGCACATCGCTCTGTGGAAGAGATAAACAGGCGGGGAGAGGAGGCACAATGGGATGACAAGCCCGACTGTCACACCTGAGCCCAGTTGTTTGTGTGTGTCTGCACATACACACACATTCACACAGTTCTCTCCTGCGCCTGTTGCTGTCTTGCACTCCCTTGCATCTCTCTCCTTTTCTTACTTTCTATTTTTCTGTTTCTTTCTTTTGATGCTATTGTGGTTATTGTTGCCATATTAAATAAAATTCATACACATGCAACAACATTATAGCTACACCCTTCTGACGAAACTACTAAGACTCAGAGACATATGCTACAAAAGAGATTACACATAGGATTAGGAAGCATGTTAATCTTAATCTTGTTTCATGTCAGTGATCATCTTTGTTGATTTTATCTGTAGCAGCTT